TCGGAAACAGGCTCCAGGCTCTGAGCCATCAGCCCAGAGCCTGACGCGGGGCTCGAACTCACGGACCGCGAGATCGTGACCTGGCTGAAGCCGGACGCTTAACCGACTGCGCCACCCAGGCGCCCCACATAAGTTGAATTATTTTGCAGTCACTAAATTGTATTAAAAATACCAGTGTTTTTTTTTTTAATACCATTTTTAATTTCCTGGGAAACACCAAAGTAATATTATTTTTTTTTAAAGTAAGTATGAAGTTCTACAATGTGATTCTACTTCTTTAAAAAATAGTACACATTATGCCTAGTGGTAAACTACTGCGTATTTTCAACAGCAATTCTTTATGCATTGGGATAATTATAAGTTCTTACTACATGCCAGGCATATGTTTAGCACCTTATATACAATGCAATAAATTTATGCTTGCAAAAATTTTAGGAGATGGGTTTTATCCCTGTTGTATATCTGAGGAAACCGAGACCCCGATCAGGTAAGCAACTTTACCACAATGACAAAGCTCTTCCGTGGAGAAACCAGAACATAAACTAAGGTCAGCTTGACCCAAAGTTCCTGCTCACCACGTCCATGTCTCTGCCCACAGGTAATTTTAATTTTCTGTTTCATATATTTTTATGTGTTCTAGGGGATCTAAAATAAGCATATAATGCCTTTATAATCTGAAAATAAATCCATAGTTTAACTGCTGTATTAAAAAGATGCAGATTCACAAATGACAATTCTAAAAATTGCTTCCTCCCAAGATGTGGGACCATGAACAGGATCTTTAGGAACTCAAACTAATGGGGGTAATGAGCATGAGCACTCCTTTTAATAAGTGTAATCCCAAAGACTTTTGTGAGCCATCTCAATTCTGCAAAATTTATTCATTTAAGAAATACTTGCTTAACACCTACCTTTTGCCAGGTATTGTGCTAGATGTTGGCACAACAGTAGGAGGACCAGTCTGAAGGACTTTCTTTGGATATTGGGAAAGTCTTTGGGGGATAAGTAGAGATGGGAAGAGATAGAGAAGGTGGCAAGACTGTCAATTTAACACTGGAAGTCCTGGCTACATACATCTAAGGTTTGTTTGTTTTTTTAATCTTTCCCTAAAAACATATAGGATTCCTGAGGATCCAGGACACCCCCATAAATGTCATAAAATGTGAAGGCTCTACAATGCATTCATACTTTTACTCTAATTATACTAGTCAGATAAGCTAAAATGTTTTATATATATACATATATAGTTTTTAATGTTTATTTATTTTTGAAAAAGAGAGAGAAAGAGTGTGAGTGGGGGAGGGGCAGACACACACACACACACACACACACACACACACACACACACACAGAATCCGAAGCAGGCTCCAGGCTCCAAGCTGTCAGCACAGAGCCCAACGCGGGGCTCGAACTCACAAACCTCGAGATCGTGACCTGAGCCGAAGTCGGACGCTCAACCGACTGAGCCACCCAGGCGCCCCTGAACTAAAATGTTTTTAATATCACATAGCACTGTTCTCATCCACAGGCTATACACTCGTCCTCACATTTGCCCTTCTGGGTGGTACAGTATTTTCATTGTTAAGGAAGCAGAGTTGGACCATCAGAAGGATTCTTAGCAGAAATGCAGTTGGATGGATTTCCATCCTCTTGGCTCCATACTTCTTTGTCCATGTCCACCTTCCATTTTTCAGGAAAAGCGAATGTCTTTCAGCAAATGGACTTCTAATGTGAAGGCCACTTTCTCTACAGTTGTAGATTAACAGGCCAATGTTTTCTGACTTTTTAATTTATGAGTCAATCAGAATTTTTACCGATATAGACTTAGGTTATTTACTTTTATGTGGCTGTTATAATAAGATCAAATGAGTAAGAATACATATATTATAATTAAATACATATATCTCCTTGTCTACAAAGTCCCAAGCCCTAGTGGTAGGAAATGTTAAGGAATGTCATTAAGCAAAAGTATAGGAAGTCCATAGGAATGACAATAATTTAGATTTTCAACACTGAGTTCAAATAAATTTAGACCCTATACGAAGATCCCTAAAAGCAAAGAGATACCTATTTGCGAAGGAAAACCTGGGATGCCTTAGAATTGAACACAGACAGCAAATTAAATCTCCTTGTTAATTCTCTTCCATGGGGATTAAACACCAAGGAATCATTGAGAAACCAGAGTAAAAAAGGTCTAAGTTGGTACAATACATTCCTTATGTTGTTTGTATATTAGGTGGTTTTCTTAATCTTTCAGGCTACAAATTTAGGAGGAAGGATAAGGGTCCATAGTTCTGAGATCAGCTGTCACTGCCATGGAGATTCATCCTGTTTAATACATGATACCATCCAATCTTTTCATAATAATAAACACTTGTTTTATCATCTCCACAAATCGTAAACTACCCTTCCATGGTTTCTCTAACTACAGTTTTTCAAGATTACAAAAATACTGAGTAAATCTACTCTCCAGTGAGTGTACTAATTACTGTTTTAGTTCATGCTAACAGAAGAAATGGCTTAATAACAGTAACTTAACTGAAGGAGGTCGAACTGCTCATTCATTTAAACTGAGTACAAATCATCTTTGTGTTAGATATCAGTGCTACAATGTATATTTCATGGATACCTGCTATTATTACTTACAGACTTTAGCAACACAATTTAAAGTGTTTCAGTTTCCAAAATTATTTAATACCCATAATGCGACCAGGAGGAAAACATTATTTTCCACTACAACAGTAAAAACTGTTTCTCTTTTCTCCAATTAAATGATTTCGGAAGGATGCATTACCCGGAAAACCGGTATGTATGAACGCCGGAAATGCAGATGATATCTAGTCTCAGAAATGTTTATTCTTAACGGGAACTAAACTATTAGATTTCTCTCTATTATTTATGATAGGCTTCCCATGATGGAAATAATCTCCCTGTAAAATAATCCAAAAGGAAATTGGAAACAACAACAACAACAACAACTATGGGAAGGTTGCAAAGTTCCCTAGACAAACCTTTCCAGAGACTCTTTTAGAAGGAGGCATTTTTCGAAGGGTCAGGGAGGTTTAGGAAAACTCTGCCAAGGAGCCAGGGTCAGTCTCCCCGGAGCGACTAAGATTGTCCCAGGTGAGCAGCGTCCGGGACTCCGGATGGAGGCAGAGGACGCAGGGCGGGTCCCCGCACAGCGGGCATCTTTTCGGCCAGGCGACCCCCGCTCAGTCTCCAGGACCCCAGCGACTCCCGAGGCTGGCGCGGGCAGCCCGGGACGCACTGCCAAGAGCCTCCCGCTCCCGGGGAGCATCCCCCCTTCCTCGGCTTCCGAGGCCAGCTCTGTCCCTCCGCCATCCTCCAGTCCTCCGACATTTTTCACGGAGACCCGGAGGCAGGGAGAAGAGGAAACGGCCGAGTGTCTGCATCCAGTCTCTGCCGCAGCACCAGAAGAGGAGAGGAGGACGGAGGCTGGCGAGAAGATAGCTATTAAACTGTGATTCCATCCCCCAAAAAAAGAATCACCATCACCCCCAGCAGGGGAGTCTCGGATACACCCACCCGGACACAGGCGAAGGGGTTGGTGGGCGTTCCTCCTCCTGGTCCCCTCGGTGCCTGTGAAATCTACCCTAAACCGTGCACACAAGAACTCCCTTTCCTACGACTAACGGGAGGGGAGGAACAAAAGAGACCCCCACGCCCTATACACACACACACACACACACACACACACACACCACTCAGATATCTGACCGACGCTCAAGGTATGCATTTTTGCAATCCCTTAGGCTTACACCTTCCCCACCTGGTTAGTGCATTTACCCAAAGAAAGAAAGGAAA